CCTTGGCTGGCATGAATGAGGACATCAGCTCCAATACTACCAGCATATTCACATTCTGCTTTTACTTTGGTCTTTTGGAGCCAGAGCTTTTACAGAGCCAAAGGTTTAAAATCTAAGCAGTATATAGATAGCACTAAGACATATACTTATTATGTGTAGACTTACACATAATTCAATCTGAGATAGTTTAGGAGTGGAATGTCTCTATTTGTAACAGGGAAATGTAATTTTCACTAGGCCTTCAACATTATTCACTATTACAGCTTTCATAGCAGATTATCAGACACCAAGAATGACAACACAATTTTACTACACCTGTGAGCAGAAAAGGGGCAGATTTCATACCAAAAGTTGCCCAGAAATGCTGGTCTGCCAGAGTTGTATCTGTAGAGCTGTGCTCTCCCTAGCTTATGATTTACACACTATACTGCTGAATATATACCACAAAATAATGTTATGGAATTTATGATGTTACTTATAGACCTATTGATCTCACACTTTGGTACAGGTAGAGTCTGTATTTACATTTTACTCTACTGTAGTAAATATTCAAGACACTGCACTAAAAATTACATGCATTAACACAACTATAACTACACATATCTACACATCAAGGAGAAATTTACAATTAAAATTTGTAAAAGAGGAAAAAATCCTCTTGCTTACAGATGAAATAATGCTTAGCTATTGAGGGAAATATCCTTACGAAAGTCAAATTACTTTTGTCCAGTAGCCAAGAACAACTCCACCCAAATTTTCTCTAATTTTCTTGTTTTTCCTAAAGCTTTCCAAGTAAAATGAAAACTACAGCAATTAAATGCTGGTAAATTCAAGCTGCTTTCAACAAAAAGTAAAGGATGGATTTTTTTAAAGCACTGATATTCATTTGACATGCACTGCACTGAATTCATATGAATGACTACAGGAACTACAAAGGGGCCACTGTGTTTCTAACTTGCATCAATAATCCACATACAAGGAAAGAATTTACAAAACAGAACACAAGAACTCCATGGGAACACCCTAATACAAACATATCCACGTTACTCTGTGCTCTGAAACCATGCATTTATCTGTTATGTTTTTAAGTACCTAATGCTAGTCTGCCCATTAAAAACCAGTAGCCAACTGACCATTTAGCCTTCCAGTGTGTAATATACAACTGTCAAATACAGCATATGCTGAACAGTAGGACTTATGGTTTACTTCTTAGGATTATGATGAAGATTAATTAATATATGTGGTGCTTTAGTGCATGCTAAGTATTTTTCTATGGATTTAGATACATTCTATGGATTTAGCAGTATTCAATGTAATAAAAAAATCCCAGCTAAACAGCTAACTCCTGTGTTAAAAGAAGTTGGCAAAATTCTCTTCCTGATTTATTCAATCATGCAAGGATTCAGAGAAGGAAAGATATCCTGAAAAGTCCTGTAAGAATCCCAACTTCCAGGCCTCATGACAGGCTGCATTAGAGCAGTCTCAGGATTATTGCTGAGCTACAGCAGCCTCCAGAAAGTCATCCTTCAAACAAGAACAATTGAAGCACAGCAGTGTTCTGGCTCTTGCCTTCATCTCTTCCGCCCAGCCCTCTTCCAATCCTTCCTCCACCATATTCCCATGCCAAACTTTGTATGGTGGCAACACAAAACTAACAGATGGGCTGAATACCAGCTGACAAAGGGACCAGGACGTGGCTTTCTAATGGCTGGTTCCTGTCCACTGCCACATTGACTTTATTTCTCAAAAACTTACCTCCACTGTTTTTGTAAATTCTTGAGAACACAAATGAAGTAGGGACGTTGTTCTTTAGGGGCTTATTTTTCCTTCATAAACCCCAAAGAATCCACAGCATCACAATGTAAGAATAATCAGAGTTATGGTGAAGGCACAACAGGATGAGCTGCAGCTACTGCAGGCTTCCTGTACTCCTTTCTGTAAGTCACTACATGCCTTCTTGGCCCAAGATTTTTGCATTGTCTGCTTTCCTAGAACTCTCTGTTAAAACTGTCAATTGTCTTGGGACAAGACACACTGAATATTTGAAAAAGAGCTACCTTACAAAGAGCACTAGTTTCTACTGTGACATTACCTACAAACAAAAACACAATCTAAATCTTACCCCATCCACTTAAAAAAAAAATAAATTGTTCATTTCCTGGTTCTCCAGCCTGTCCACATCTATCTGTAGCACTGCAGTAGGGTGCTGTAGTAGGGGTCCAGCAGGGGCTTTAACACAACCTGGAATGGGAATACACTTAGGACAGAGAGATGCATTTCTAGATGATGAATTTACTGTCAGGAAACTATGACTTTTTAATAAAAAAGATGAAGTACACAACTGTAAACTGTTGAACTGAGTTGAACTGCTCTTAATCATGAAAAATGTATGCTGGCTTTATTTTACCACCTGTACGCCCTTAAAATTATTTGGGTCAGGAGATCCAAATGCTTTTCACCTAGTTTTGGTCCCATTGTTTGCTATCTAAGAACTTCATGTCAGATGGAGGAGACCCAGCTGTGAACTCCTAAATCTAGAAAAATATATTCAGAAGTCTGTGCAGTCCAAGGCAACTGTTCAACCTCTGTGTGCTAACAGAAACTTCATATCTGTGCTCTGACAGAACAGGGAGGAAGACAGACCCAAAAAGATACTGGGCTTTTGAAAAAACCAGCTACCAATCTACCACCTTTGCAAACAGGGCTTCTAAAAAAATAACCCAAAGAAAACAAAAGTAACAAAACACAAACAAGAAAGGCAACTGGGAAAAAAATGTAGGCCTCAGCCTGAGTGCCCAGGAGTTCCTTGGGAAGGCTCTGCAATGCCAGCTGCACTTCCACAATTTGAGCACACAATAAACTGACAGAGAAAACACATTCATGACTCTGTACATCAGTTAAAATTACACTGAAGGCAAATTATGAGGGATATGAAAAATCACAGAGGTGTAGATTTGTAACAATAACTACTAAAATTGGCATTTTTCCCTCTCCTTCAAACTGCACCTTTCAGTGCAGTCCTCTTTATGTGGATGATAACACAGAAAGAAAACATTTTCTTTCTGTGAATAACAAATGAGCCCAAGGAAAATACAACCTCATAAGAACAAAGTGTCATCCTTTGACACCTGACGTCAAATTAATGAATATTCAATCAAATAAATATCTGTTATGTCCACACATTGCTGTAGTAAATTCATTTTAAAATAGTAAAAAATGCTGGGAAAAAAAATAAAATCTAGAATAATTTTTCTATTAGTCTCCATTAAACGGGCTTTCTTAATTTTCACTTTGTATCCTGAAAGCCACAAAAGCCACACATGTAGCTGATGTGGTGTGCAACTCTTGGCCAATCTACTTACTTTCATTCTGTAGATATACACTTTTCTACTACTTTTTTTTGGGATGACTGCAAATTTTCACCTGAAATAATTTTAAAGACTTAATCCTGACTTTCAAAGTTCCAGCAAGCTTCATCTTGAGCATCATCAACAGAATGGGAAGAGGGGAGGGGCAAAGGCTCTCAGTGCTGACTGATAGATTTTTGATACTGCCTTGCTTTCCTTTTACTAATTATGCCCAGATTGCTCATCATGCCAGATACTGTTTATGCTAGGAATTTTATACAGCATACCTCAGGGGCAAATTGCCTGTAGTGGTGAGCTGGGAATTCTCTATAGCCTACTTTAAGAAACAAACCTCCAGTATTCCCCTACATCGTATTATTCAACTTTCCTGCCAAATCTTCAGCATGAGCTAACTTCAGCTAACGCCAGTGAAGGGTACTCCTTGACGCACCAATTCTTCATTCCCTCTAGAGCATGGTACATGCTCTTTGAGCCCTTGATCTTGCACAAGCTAAGAAAACACAGCAGTTTTAAGTCATTAGGCTGTTGATGATGAAAGCTATCTAGGCAAAAGCCCTTGTGCTGGACAGCAACTGTTAGCCTTGAGATTTCATGTACATTTCACAAATATTTATAGTAATTGTTAATTTCTTCTCTGCAGAAGCCAGTAATCCACCAGCTCAACCTCATCTACTTTTCCCAGATAGACAAGATCTTTCTAAAGAAACTGGAATTTAACGCCAGCGTGATCAGGCTCTAAAACTGGAGTATTTACATTCCCTAAATTGGTGGATTGCGATGGACAGATAGTGTGAGAAGCTGTTCAGCGCACACCGGCACCGTGCACTTGGGACGGGCCAGAAAATAAGCTGCATCTCCGTACCATAGCACCTTTCTGTGACACCACAATTGTTGTCAATTATCCCCTTTCCTCTTTAAAACATTTGTGATTTGGCGCGCTGGTTGCTCGCAGAGCAGCCCTGGTTGTGATGGTGAATACTTCTATTCAGAGTGGGGAGGCTGCAGGGTGGCCGGTGCTTTTCCAGCTCCAAGAGCCGAAGGCAGGCGTTGGGGGTGTTGGGGTCGAGGGTCCCATTCCCGCGTGTCCCTGGCCTGACGCGGGGCGCACGGCACGAGCCGAGGCGTGCGAGGTGCGAGGCCGAGGGCCGTGGACACCGCACGACCCCCGGGCATCGCCGTTCTGCCGGGCACCGGCCCGGCGAGTCCCGCGGCGGGCCGGAGGCTGGAGCCCCCGGGACCGGGTCAGCTGAGGGCTGCGGGAGGCGCCCGGCCGGGCGGAGCGGCCATCGAGGGGCGATCCCCCCCCCGCTCCCGGGCCGCCGCTTTGTCCTTGCCCGGCCCGGAGCACGCGCGCCCCCGGCCGCGGCGGGAGCGCGCCTGCGCGCACCCCGGCGGCCGGCAGACGGGAGCGAGCGCCCCCTCTCCCCTCCCCCGCTCGCCGGGAGCTCCGCCGGCGGCCGCGGGCGGGCGGGGGAGCCCGGGCGGGGCGGGGAGAGCCCGGGGGGCGGCCGGGCCCCCTCCCCGCCTCCGCTCCGCCGCGCGCGCCCGCCGCCCCCCGCCCCGGCCTCCCGGCCCGCCGCGGGAGCCCGCGCCGCAGAGCGGGGCCCGCCAGCGCCACCCGCCGGCCGCGGGGCCGCACCGCGCCTCCCCCCGTCCCCCCCTGCTCCGGCTCTCAATGTTCCACACTGCCCGGCCACAGAGCCGCCGCCGCCGCCGTAGAGCCCCCCGGCCGCCTCCGTCCCCTCCTCGGGCGCCGCGGGCCCGGCCCGGCCCCCCGCCATCCCGCCCCTCCGACCCAGCATCGGGACAGGACGCCGGCGAAGGTAAGGGAGCGGCGGGCGAGGCGGCCGCCGCGGCGGCTGGGCGAGCGCGGTGGGGGGAGGCGGGGAGGAGGCGGGGGGGCTGGTAGAGGAGCTTTGTTCTTGTTTTCGGCGCTCGCTGCCTGGCGGCGGCCGGGGACGCGGGGCCGGCCCGAGTTCACGCCTCACTTGGTGCACACGCACGGTGCGGAGCGGGGCCGGGCGAGCCGCCGCCGCCGCCCGCCGAGCCGAGGCGAGCCGAGGCGGGCTGGCGCTCCCCACAAAGCGCGGCCGGGCGGCCGCCCGGATCCAGCCCTGCCGCAGCTCCCGCCGCTCCTCCTCGGGCCCCCCCGGCCGCCGGGGCAGCCCCCTCCTTCTCCCCCCCGCCCCCCCGCCTTCCCGATCGGCGGAAAAATGTCGGTCTGCCTGGCGGAGCTGCGGGGAGAGCCGTGCAGAAGGTGCAGTTTGAATTATGCTTCTTCCCCCTCCGGCAGCTCTGTGGTGGCCAAATGCAGTTCTCGCTGCTGGCCATGTAAATAACCGGGGCTGCTGCTACCCCAGTGGCTTTAAATGCGTCGCGGGGCTTTTCCCCTTACCAAAAAAAGCCCTACCACCGATAAAAAACCAGACCTCGTTCCCCCGCGTGCCAGCCCTTTAAATGCTCAGAGCAAGTGTACATTTCCATCTGAAATCAACCCAAGTGTAACTGGCAGTGTATTTTCTCGGAGAGAGGGGAAGAGGGGGGGATCTGGACCCAATAAAATGCTCTGCCCCAGTGTAAATATTTACGGGTTATTAGTGACTTTTTAAAAAACATTTTCAGTGAGGTCTGTTATTTACAGTGTGTCATAAGTTATTAATGCTCATTGCCTAAGTACTCTGCTAAATCTGTCTCATGCCTTAAACAAAGTCGACAATTGGCATATTGTTTAAAGTATGAAAAAAAATGTGAGTGGGTTTAAAAATTGGAAATATCTGTATTTTCAGAAGTGTAAATATTGCTTTGTAGCTGTCAAACTCCAGCCCTTGTGTATGAGACAAAGAAGTATATTTTGATTAATTTCTCACTGAAACTGACTTGTCACCTATTCAAAGTTTTCTGGGACTTGGGGAATACCAAGAGAGAGTCCTGCCTGTTGTATGAACTCTGCCTCTTTTCTTCCCAAAAAAAGTTCTGCATGATGTCCAATGGTAGGCAGAGGTCAGCGGAACTTGGGGAATGACAAGAGAGAGTCCTTCCTTGTGTATTAATTCTGCCTCTTTTCTTTCCCCAAAAAGTTCCCCACGATGTCCAGTGATAGGCAGAGGTCAGACGATGAAAGTCCAAGTACCAGCAGTGGTAGTTCAGATGCCGATCAGAGGGATCCGCCTGCACCTGAACCTGAAGAGCAAGAAGAACGAAAGCCCTCTGCCACTCAGCAGAAGAAGAACACCAAACTATCCAGCAAAACTACTGCTAAACTATCTACTAGTGCAAAAAGGTAAAGGAGGGCGTGAAACGTCCTGCAGTATTTTTGCACATAGTTGGAGTCACAGTACTTGCACTGCGCTTGTCAGGGCAGAGGCATTCTTCTTGTAAAGCTGTGTGGAAGGGAATGTACTATCAGCTTTGGTAGTTGACAGGAGCCTGCTAAGCAGTGTTTTAATTAATCTAAGTCTTGTTGGGGTAGCAGTTAAACAGAATAGTGCTATGTCTTTTGAAGAGTTGGTGCAGAACTTGGTGACTTACAGGGTGACTGGGAGGGGGGCACCTAGGTACATTTTGTATTTTCAAAAATGTGTGAGAGATCTTTGGTGCTTTTTTCTGAGTTAGGTTTCCATGCCTGATTGGTATAGGGTGGAGTCCTCCTGGAATATTTTATTATGGTTGGTAGACTGATGACAGGCAATGCTGTCTAATTAAAGAAGTCATAAAACCCCAGTGGCTTCTCTGGGCCTTATGAGAGCTTTTCATGATGATGCACAGGAGAGCCTTACACACCTTGAAGGAATGGGTTCATTCTGCCATTCTCCTGGGAGAAACTTAGGTGAGTTTTCTCCCTTAGGAGCTGTGGATTTAAACCTGTGACATTCTACAGGTAGCCTCTGCCTTTAAATATAAGAATCTTCAGAAACCTCGTTTAGTTATATTGGTTGCACTTTCATTTGCATATAAGTTTATTGGCAGCTGGGCTCTCAGGAATTACTCTGGTAATTTTCTCAAAGATCAGCTGTGTGAAATACTCAAACTTTAAATTCTTTAATTCCGGCTGTCTTTGGAGATGAAACATAACTTTCCAGTCCTTTCCTTGGAGTTGCTTTTCTTTGAAAACATTTACAAGTATCCAGTAGCAAGAAAAGTTGAAAAATAGCTGTAGTTAGCTTCAAATTTTGCTTATTCAGCGTAACTATTGTAGTTCTGACTTTTATGAGCACTTTAGTAATTTTGTATTGGACTTAAACTTAGTAAATTCTTTTTGAAATATGTTAAAATTGTTGCAGAGAATGGCTGCATGCCTTTGATGACTTTTGAGCTTGTTAAAGAAACCCTTTGAAATAGGACTGGCTAAAGAGAAAAAAGTTTTGCAACTACTGTGCAGCACTTGTAATTTGTTGTTACTTGTCTTTTATTTGACAAGCCTAAGATACAGGGTTTTGACATTGAATTTTCCCACATTGTCTTTATTTCATTTAATTGTTGCAAGTATAATTCCATGCATCTCACATAATTCAGTAGGCTTACTGAACTTATTTAATGTTAATGCAAGTGATGTTAATGCAAGGACATCCAGAGCAGTTTCTGTTAGCTCACCTTTTAAGGCCTGCTATTTGCATGAAATTCACAGTATTGCTCTTATGAGAAGTCTTAATTTTTTAAGAGGAGTTAACCATGTGTATTTTGAAATTGCACCTCTTACGTACTTAAATAAACTTAAATTGACAGGAAGTTTTCTGTACTCATTTTTCAAATCTTAACTCCTTGTGAATGTTTGTAATAGAGTAAAGTTATGCACAGATTATTTCAAGTTATTGTATCATTTTTTATCACATAAATACAGCTACTGTATAAGGTTGCAGGAGGCAAGGCAGCAGAAGGTATGGAGAGAAGCAAAGTTGATCCAGAGAGATTATTCCATAACAGAGACAGCCTGGCAGATCTGCAAAAACACTTTTTAAACACACCGCAAAGTAATAGGTAAAATACTGTGAAAAGACTGTGTCTGCTGCCAGCACGGTTCACTCGAGCCTCAGTCACAGGTCCTGTAGCTCTGGTTTAAAGTCATTGTCACATCTGCCTGTGCAGGCGCTCCCCCCCCACCCCCGCCTCATTTGCATATTAGCTTGAAAAGAAAATCTCCCTGGTAAAAAGTGCTCGGATGTGAAAAAGAGTTACTTTTCTGAATAGTTGTGGGAAATTTCTACCCAGCTCAGCTGTAAGTGTTCTGTTTACATACAGCATGGAGCAGGAAAAAAGCTGCAAAGTTTCTCAGCTGTGGGATTTGGGTTATGCCTCTGAGAACAAAGAGGAAGCAGCCATGTTAGCATTACTGAAGGCAAAGCCAATCTTGCATTTAACTGCATGGTGGTAGAGGGCAGTGTAATTCCCTGATTTATTCTATAGACTATCTCAAATGCCTTGTGTCTGTTCTCATTTCACCAACAGAATCCAGAAGGAGCTAGCTGAAATAACCCTTGATCCTCCTCCTAACTGCAGGTATGTAATGGCTTCTTAAATTGTGGTCGGTGGTAGGAAATTAACGTACTCAGGTTAACAAAAGGCAAACTTAGCGTTTACTACGGGTGACTGTTAGACAGAAATTGCATACTGTGAATTGAATAAGCATACAAAATGTTTGAAACTGAAGTTTGGTATTTTGTCTGCATGTTGGAGGTGTAGTCATTAGTGATTGATGTACACAGTGAAATCTGTTCAGTTTGTTGTTCATAGCTGGTCACTGCCTTTGTGAAACATTAATTATATGAATGTCAAAATATGCTGAATCTTTCAACTTAATGTCTGCATGTAGTTTGAACTGGCTTTTTGAGTGCTGAGTTTCTGGAGTGATCTTTTCATTCTGAAGTAAAGAACTGTATGTGATTTTTATATGCTTTCTCTTAGTATGTTGTTTAACTGATAAACTGAATTATTGCCTCTAAATTCATGTGTCTGTTGGACAAAGTTGTAATCTCTTGATAAAGAATATTCTTAAGGAAGTTCTCAGCTTGGGAGGCACTTCTGTTTGGTTTTAGAAAAATGAAATTTTAAGCACAGGAGACTGAGTGATTTAGTTTTAAAGTGATGGTTTGGAATTGAAGCACTTGATCTGTAGGAAAGTTAGATAGTAGCACAGTTTGATTTCTTTAAATCTTTTGGCATGTTTTACTTTTGTTTAAAGGATGCATAACAATTCTTATTAGCTGTGAGCATCCGGTGTTCAGATTTGCAGTAAAGCTAGCTTTAAATAATGTTGCTTTCATTTGAGGCATCTCCATAGGATTTCTGTCTGGAAGGTATCTTAATAACTCATGTAACAGTGAGCCATGTACATATTTTTAAAAATTTGCTGGAGATGCTTTCTGATTGTGTGTTGGAATTGTTTGGCTTTTGAGTGGGTTGATGGGGTGTTTTGTGAATTTGATAAAATATGAGCTGTTCCTCTGTCTCACTAATCTATGAGTGCAGGGGCTAAACCAGAGCAGAGTTTTATTGAATTTGTGGTGAAGGCATCTTGTCCTGAGGACTGTGCTGTAGATTGCCTGTGGCAGTCTGATGTATTTGCATGTAGGGTCAGTGGCTCTGTTTGTTTAGGGTTTGGTGTTTGTATTTTTTGTGGTTTGGTTTTGTTTTGTTTTGGTTTGAGTTTTTTGTTGGTTTTTTTTATTCGTTTGGTTTTTTGTTTTGTTTTGTTGTTTTTTTTTTTGTGGGAAGATGGGTTTGGTTTGGTTTTAAATAACTGCTTTAGATAACTTTAAATATTGGGCTCTAGTTCTGTGTTGGTCCTGCACTTTATATTTGGACCATCAAAGGGGCATGGCAGAAAAGAAAGTATTTAAATGAAATAGAACCCTGATGGTTTGCTTACAGTTGCCAAAAAGATAATTGTAGCAGTTTCGGGTACAGCAAGTTACAGCTTTTAGAAAGAGAAGCTTTCACAGTCTGCAGCACTGTCTGATACTTGGCTCCCTGGCAAAGCTTATTCCTCTCATATTAGCACAAGAGTATTGCAGAGCATTTTGCTTGTGAGCCGGTACAGCCAGATGCACAGGGATGATGTTGAGAATGATGAAAACCCCGCAGTGTGTCTAAAATTATTCAAGTTTCTTTCCTACAGGGAATAGAAAAAAAAGGGTTTTTTTCCCAGTGAGAAAGTCAATGCTTCTGTTCCCATAGGTATTTTTAAGAAGAATTTAGTGGATTTACTCAGTAACAACTTTATAATAAGTGCTTTTTTACCTTTTGCAAAATAAAACCAGAAAAATCTACAACAAGCTTCTGTAACAGGAAATCTGGGTTTTCATGATAAACAGTTTGAGCAGAGTTTCAGTGCCCAAAGTATTTACTGTTTCATTGAAACTGACTTGTTAGAAGGAGCCGTTCTGGTATCAAGAAGTAAATGCAGCTGTGTGTTATGTGCAGAAACAGTTGACACTTTTACTTTCTTACAAGGTGTAGTAGCACAGATTAGGGTACAGACAAACAAAAGGCTGATGAGACCTCTGCACTGATCATCATGCAACAAGCAGCAGAGTGCTACTTACTGCATTTCTTGTGAAAGAAAAAGAATTTATAAAAAAAAACCCTAAACATTTAAAAGTGTGCAAGTGCTTTAAAAATAAAAACCTGGTGTCTAAGTTCTCCCAAAAGCAGTTTTTCATGCACAGTTGTTTCTCTTCGTGTTCTAGAGCACTATCTTATCGTTTGCAGTCTGCATATTGCAAGCTTCACAAGAATACAACTGGATGCTGATAGTCCTGCTTACTCACTTACATAAGTAATGAAAAATTAGCAATTTTAAAAATGCAGTAATGGCACATATGAAATGTTAAATGTTACTTTACAGGATACAATACAAATACTAAAGTACAAATATGTTAAGCTCTCTCATACCATGCTAAACACTGATATCTGCGGCCCCTTCTCACCTGCCAATGCAACTGCCCAGAGTCACCTCATAGGAGTGACTCGAGGTTGATTTATCTACTTTAAAATGACACCGACTGGCTGCACTGTGATTCTCATGCAAAAGAGGTGTAGATTTCACCAGCAGTTGTTTTTCCTGCAGTCACATCTATTGCTGTAACATCTGCTTTATAAAATGCCAGAGCCCCAAGAAAGCGTGTTCCTGGGTATGCTGAGCAGGGCTGGGCTGCACACTGACTTCTATTTTAGGCACTGGGATAGCAGAATGACAGGCACAGTAAAACTGACTAAACAGTAGTTTTTCGCTTGCCTGTCTCAACAGAAAGGATTGATTTCTGATTCTGTTAATTGGACAATGAACTGTTGAAAAAATCATGTTGTCATGTATCATGCTGTCATGTTTGTGAGCAGTGAATATGAGCTGCATCTCGGGGGTACCAACTATAAAACTTAATATCTTCATGCTGATAGCTTTCTCCTTGACATGCAGTAGTACTAAATTCCTGTGATTTTGGTGTGATTTTCAAGAAAGATAAAGCATCAAAAGCAATAAAATTAAGTTCAGTCCTAAACCACTACAAATCTTGGAGAAAAACTAAGTGTTGCTTTCCACTCATGTTTTCTCCCGTTCAACAGAAAAGCCTGAAACAAATCAATTACTGTCCAACATAGACCATAACACTAGGACACATAGGTAAACTGAGGACAGGTATCTGATTCCATTTTTTCTTCCTTTTTCAATCTTAACTCAAAGCTGTGCTACTTGATGCAGTGTACTGTATTTAATTTCTTTTGTGCTTTTAATAGCATAAAGCAAAGCTAAAAAGATCTTGGCCCTATTACTCCTAGGCAGCTCAGTTTCAAGCCACGGCCAAGCACTTATACATACTTCAAGGTGTGGAAGTGTGCCAAGCCCCACTGTTACAGACTCGCAGGTAAATGCTGCAAAGATTTCGCACGTAGTGCATGGTAAATCTGGGCTGCAGAGATGCTCTTAAATAAGTTTGACATATCTGGAATAACTATTTTCAGCTCATAGCATAAAACTGTTTAGATCTGAAGTCACTGCTCTGTAGTTGAGGTTTTGTCTGAGGCTGCTGTTGAGACCTGCCCAGCTTGGAGGCTGCAGCTCAGGTGGAGCAGGGCACTGCGTCTCCAGCTCTCATTGTATTTCCTGGATTTTAGGGCTGGCACAAGTGGGGCTGTTCCCAGGGGTACTGTGATTTATAGCAGCTTCCTTTAGCTGTTCCTGGCTGCCCTGCTGATCTGCAATAGCAAAAATGTGTATTCCCAGTTTTCTTTGCTCATTCTTCCTCCTTTCCATTCCTAAATTAAATATTGTTCTTCTTTGTGGAAATGTTTTTGAAGTTCTATTTAATAACACTCATGTCAGCTTAGTTTATAGTTTACAGCCCATATTACAACAAATCCACTTTAGTGTAAACTTTGCAGGAAATGAATGCAAACACCAAATTCAGTGTATCCACTTGGAGCTTAATTCATGTGGTTTAAAAAGTGGTGAGTTGAAATAGTGCATCTTTCCCAGGCAAGCAGGCGAATGTCTTTTATATCCTGTGCTGTAAATTGGCTTTAATATCTTCTCTTTACTAATCAGATATTTGAAAGCAAGTGGATAAAAAAAAGACGTAAAGTGGAAAGGCCAGGCAAAACACATGCCTTGGAGCACTGGTCAGAGAAACAACTTGCTTTCTTTGTAGCTGCTGGGAAATGGGACTTACTGCTAAGGGAGAGCTGCTTGGATCACCCCGAAGGCTCCCTGCTCTGTCTCATCCTCTAGCCAGTGAGTGCCTGACCTTATAGGACTATTGGAAAGATTTTCCTTAATAGGGATTACAATATTGATTCCTATTTATTTTCAGGCCTTGTATGCTAATACATACTAATGTGATTTGAGCAGTATTACAAAAAGTGGCAGTTGATGATTTTGCTGTTTGTAGCCTCTCCTAGACTTGCAAATAGGTTGATATTTTATGAGTAATTAATTTTGAAATTATGTATTTTAAAATAACTCCAAAGTATGTGGACTAAGAACAAATGGAAGGAAGATGTGTAAGGAGTTTGTTTTAATACAGGATTTTTCTGCTTCCTAAGAGCTGCATTTGTCCGTTTCATTACTGCCACATCTTGGGCTAATTCCATCCTGCAGTGTTGCCAAGGCCGAGATCTGGAGTTTGACACAAAGAAGAATGCTTGCAAAACCCTGGCAGGCGAACGCTATTACTGCTTTGGTTATGGACCCATGCATCCAGATGTTTGTGACTGTTGGACTGTGCTTGTTATTCCATCAGTGTGGGAGCACTGCAGTATGTGTTTAAAGCAATGTTGTGAAGCTATTCCTCAGACCAGCAATTTAAGCTCTTTCAGTTGAGCTGCCTGAAACAATGAGGAGCAATGAAAAATTGTGCTGGTGGTGCAGGCTCATCCACGTGCAGAGGTAGCGCTGGATTTGAGCTAATGCAGCTTCATGTTGTGAGGAAGGTGCTGCAGCTAAGCTTGTAGAAGCATTCCTTTTGTTAACATGCTCTGTCTGCAGTAAGGCTGTAAGCAAATGT